AACTAATTCAACACTACATAGATTTTTTAATAGAAAATAAGAACAAAGATATTAATGTGTATCAATATGTGACAATGCTAAAGAATGCTTTGTATATTTGAATTTGTGCATCAATAATCATGAATTGTTGGAAACACATACATATTTTTTTAGTTCTTTTTTATTATATGGAAGAAGAAGAGGCAATCATGAGAGATAGAGAAGCTTAAGAAGCAATATAAAAAAAGAAGTTGGAAGAAGTTATTACCTTATTAGAACAACTCACATTAGTATTTGCAAAGAGTGAACCCACTATAAATGCACATGAATTCATCAATTATGAATTGGAATTTGATCTAAACAAACCTTATATATCTACTAATGAAGAAATTATAGATATGTTTGATGAAAGAGATGATATAACTAACAATAAATCCATCGAAAAAGCTGATAATGTGCAAATTTGTGATATGGTGGTAGATAGAGTATGATTCAAGGATGTTGAATGTGCATTAGTGACATTGAAACAATTTTTGGAATAAATGCCTATTAATATTATACCTCCATCCAAAGCATTGGAACACTTCAAAAGGAAACAGGATCTTGGCATCTACAAGAATTTCATCAAATTACTTTAGATTTGTTCTTCCATTATGCTTAGATATGTAATGACATTCATAGCTTATGTATTTTCATCCTTTTATTTATATAATTGTTTTTAATTCCAAAGTAACAGAAGTGTTATTCATTGCTCCTATGTGAACAGATATCTAGGGTGGACTGCAGTTATCTTTCTGGATGACACGGAAGCGTGATCCTGTTCAATAAACAACAAAATAGCACGATTGTCACCGAATATGCTGCTCAGAAGTCCAGCTCGTCGATCAACCAAGTGGCAAGATCCGGTTTCAGTTATAGTCTAGGGACCGGATCTCGATGAGCCAGAATTGCTGGAGCGCTCCATGAAGACGGGATTGGATTAGCTTAGAAACTTACTGCGGTGTGCAAAGTGTCGTAATCATTAGGAAGGAAGTTGTTGTGAAGAAAAATAAACTTGTTGAGAACATGCAGCACCCGGGAGCCAGCGAATCTGACCTTCACGATGGGGTCATGAGGCACCGCACCAGTTATTTGATCCACCTTCGCCGCGCTGGTTTCGACATTCACGGTATCTGACCGTGGCACTTTTCGACATTCACGGTGCTATGAAGGAGGACCAATCCTGAATTTCACTCGAGGACGGAGAAATCTGTGGCTGTGGAGGTCAACGCTGACATAGGGTTTCGGATGTGGTTCGCGATCTGGTTGCTATACCTGTTCATCTCCAGAGCTAACCAGAACTTAAAGAACAAATCCAGGCTAGTTACCTTTTGTTTTTCATATTCGTGGATGGTAGCGATCACTAGCTCTGCAAAACTGTCCACAAGTTAGGTTCATGAAACTAGCCACTAAAATGGATTTTGTTGCGAGTGCAAAATTTCCTTGTCGCGACGAATCCTCGTCATTCCAAAATTAGCATAGTATCAGCACCCTATGCGGTTCAGAAGCTCATCCAAGCAGTGGGCATCAGCTATTGGACGTTGCAGACTCATCTGAGTGGGAGCGACAACTTAATCAGCATCTCGCTATTTGCCGTTTTCACTGGACATAGAGGACTCTCGGGCAGGGCACCCAGCAATAGAGAGTGCTGTTCAGACAAGCATCTCCAATCGGCGATGGAAGGAAGCGGGAGTCTCCGACGGGGTGGAAATGGACTGGAAAGCAGGTGCCGCCCGTCGAGTCCACACGCGAAGCTGGGTCAAGCGGCGAGATCATCGTCGCACCGCCGATCTCTCACTCTCGCTTTCCCCTCGCTGACTGTAGACTTTTCCTAGACATGCCGTCGCTCTTCGATTTGCCTGCACTGCGGTGATATGAATTCCAGGAATGTACATATTTAAATATTTATACATATCCATGTGTGTGTGTGCGCGTTCTACATAGTGTCATGGTCTCTACGCATCCAGGGCATGCCGTGCTCGTTGCAATTTCATTCGCGTTGTAAGGATTGGATCACTCAATCACGTCGCAATGTAGGGAAAAAGAAACACACGCCAACACCCAAACAGATATATATATATATATATATATATATACATATATACATTTGGTGAATCAGGGAGGGAGATGATTTGGCTTTTAGAGAAGGAAACATCTGGTATTGATGATGTCAAAAAGTCTGTTTTGAAACTACTTTTACCATTGCGGCACCCTCTCAATTTTCAACAAGTGCAGATTAGGATTCTTGTCGTTACGGGGGATTAAATGTATTGTGTTGTTGCTTTTTTTACAAATCATTGAGCATGTTACTGAGGTGAAGAGCACCGGAATTCTTAAAAATAGTAAAATAAATTTAATTTTTTTTTAAAGTGTTTTATATCACATGCATCTAACCTACTGCAGGATAAAAACAAGGTTACGATGAGCATAAAACTTCATTATAATTACACGTGTGGGTTGACTTTTTACAAATGCTCATTCCTCATTCGTGATTACTTTTTTCAATTGTCATTGCCTTAGCAATCAATCTCTTCAACGAACCATATTTATACCTGATATAACGATAAGCATCATCATTGCTATATATTTATTTATTTGGCAGGAGGGTTTTGATTTTTGTGGTGGATCCCATAAACCAAGACACCAAGATTAAACAAGAAAAGTAAAATGAGAACAAACCATCATGAGAGCGACATCATTCTGGATTCAACCGAGGAAAAGGAACAGTTCATTATTATTTTTTTAATGTAGTACAGTGTACTGATCTCCAGTAGGAATGCACCCAACCTTACTCAACCATTATGGGACTATGGTTCCCTTCATCAGGTGGCCCTAGAATATTCTAGAAGGTCCACGTGTGCCCTGAGAAAACATGGGCTCATCCAATTCACTTGGTTCTTTTTCATAAAAAAGAAAATGAGTTGGTTACAATAAGTGCAGAGAAATGGCTATGGTTCCAATGATTATTCCAACTGTGAAAACTTTTTGGTTACTGTCTTTTGGTCATAAAAGCAACGGTCTAGGAATTATTTGAACTGTTAATGTAGGTTTGTGTGTGTGTGTGTGTGTGGTTTAAATTATGGATACTAACTTGTGAATACAGTAGGAAATGAAAAGGGTGGGGGGTAATGTAAACAAATAAACAAATAAACATTCCAGGTTGTATAGAGTCTATTCAAAATCTACAATCACACAACCATGCATGAGTATATTAGAGAAATGATTGTGACATGTATTTTAGTATTTAAAATATCTACTACATTCTATGATAGTTAGTAAGTGTGTAATTTATTGTACCTGGAAAGACATTCCCAAATTGTACAGTTTTGGCTGTGGTTCTTCAATTTACAAATAGCATAGGAAAAATGCATTTCACTTATTTCTGTAATTAAATTACGAACAGTTGAAAACATCAATTCCAATGCGTTTTTGTCATTACTATTATTTTCATTATGTAAACATGTGTGTGTGCTTTTATATACATAAATATGCGTACTAGTATGGCAAGTGTACCCCGGTACACCCAGCTGCCCTCACAGAAAATTCTGTTTTCTTTAATTTATTTAAAATCAGCAAAAATCATTACATTGAGTTGGTAATTTTGAATTTATCAAACTGATATTGTGGTCGATACATGGTTTAAGAAAAATAAACGTGTTATTATTATTATTATTTTTTTTCTGATTTTATGGCAGAGATGATTGTTTGAATATACTTTTTGTTTGTTTGTTGGTTTGTTTGTATTTGTAAAAACTGTTCCAGTATCTTGTACGACCAGTTATGTCAAAACCTATACCCTGTATAGAATGGCTTTGCCATCACAAACAGACAATGTTCTACAAATAAATAAAAATATATAAAAATTAAAAACATGGCAATGAACATGGAGAGGGATTCTAAAACAGAAAAAGAATACATGTTTTTCCGCAATATTTTAGAGGGACAAACAATGCATCGAACCCATGAAATCATGTGTAACCCATTTTTCAAAAAAAATTATTCTTGCTATGGAATTCCAGTTCTTCACCCCACCTCACACACACAGTCACACACACACACACACACATATTTTATATATATATATATATATATATATATATACATATATATATATATATATACATATATTTCTATAAAGTAATTTTATTCAGATACACACAAACCCATTATCTTATATATTTGTGTGCATCCCCAAACACTTTTAGATTCAACATTTATACAACCCACCTCCCTCCCATCCTTTTTGTCTCTCTCTTTCCTCTCTCCTTGGATGCCTCCTCCATTTGAAATAGTCACAGGGACCACTATCTTGTCCATTGTCATTCCCGAGAACCAAGAGAGTTAAAGTGCCACACATCAAGACAAGCACTTACCGAAGCCCATTCATACTTTCTTTTATTATTTCCTATTTTAATTTGTGTCCTTTTCTGGAAGCTGGCCATCGGCCCGAACTTCCAACGGGCTGTGTTTTCTACGCTACGCTTCAACAGGTGTCACACTAATGCAGGCACTTGGGGAACGCGAAGCCTGCGTTCTCAAGCGTTGTTCCCGTGAAGCTCTCATTTCCATTAGGACTTTGTCGGTTAGTTAGTGGCTGTTCCCATAGATCCCTAAACGCTCCCTTGGATCCCTACTGGGTTCAAATTGTAAAGGGAACATGGGGACTCAAATGCGCTTTATCCACGAACTTGGCCCACACAAACAGCCTTATTCCACATCCAAAACGGCGGCAAAATTTTTCCAACAAATGAAAAGTAGATGAAAAGGTACGAAGGGTAGTTGTCAAAAAGTTACGAGAGGGAAGAAAAAGTGAAAGTGCGGCACGGCCATGGGGGAGGGGGCGGAACGGTATTCCTCAGCATGTGGGGAACGTAATCTAACAGGACCACAATTGAACTCCGTCTCCGTTACGAGGACTGTGCGCAGTCGTGATGCCGTAACAACCGCGGATCGAAGCTGGAGACACTTGGCCGCGCAGCGGTAACGAATCTCGATTGAACTATTGATGGTTATGGAAGAGAAGACATCATGCAACGGAACCCACCAGGGAGATTTGTGGGAAGATAAGCGTAGCTTGCGAGTGAGGGGCCGGGAAAAAATTTGGTCGCGACAAGAGGAAAAGCAAAAAAATATAAGAGGAAAAAACACAAAAGCGTGCCTAGTAGTGTTGAATTTGTCAAAGCGGGGGGTTGTATTGTGGGCAATCGTCCCAGGGAGGCAAGGAATGGGCAATCTCAAGTGTCCGGCGGCACGGGAGTCTGACATGCTCGGCTGACTCACGTAGGCAATTTAGCAGGATTTGCCTCAGAACGCGCGGTAACTATCTTCGTTGCTTCTTTCGCGCGTATATAGTCTTCTCGGTGGAGTCTTCCGGTGTCCGAGGGTTCAACTGCCACAGAGAAGAATTTGTGAGGAAGAGTGAAGAAGAGGAGGAGAGCGAGTGCGGGAGTGGAAGCAGCAGTTGCCGTGGAAGAAGGATAATACCGCTGTTTCAGTTCCCTACCGATTGCTTTGTAGCCACTCTTCGTACTCTGCTGTTGTTTGTTTTTGGTGGTGCGCTCCGTGGGGAAGTGTGAGATTCATGCAGATCGTCATCGCTTGCAAGAAGGGTTGCACCCTGGGTGTCATGTACGTTGTTTTCTTGGACTCTGGGTCTCTCGGTAACCTGTTGTGATCGGATGTGCACGTTTCGAGCTTGAGAGGATATTGGTGATGATAGGATCATTGTGTGATTGATGGGTCAGTGGAGGATGAGAAGGGAATGGAACGGAAGGGACAGATGGGATTGTATTATTTTTTCAGAGCGTTAAGTGTCTTCTTTCCTAAGTGTGATGAATTGAGAGCGTGGCGGGATTTTGGTTTACCATGGTAGAGTTTGAGAGCTTTTCTGACAATCTTGTGGATTATGATTTGCAGGTGTAGAGTCGGCGCTTCTGTCTGGCGCTAACGGTGGATAATTCTAATCACTTACAGGTACATTTATGTTTTTTTATGTGTACATTTTAAAATCGATATTGAGTTCTTTTGTTTCATGTTATTGTCACAGAGGCGTCCAGATTATTGAAACATGTCTCTATCTCTCTCTCTTTCCTCCCCCTTTCATACGCTTAGTTTTTAGTTACTTTTTGAAGGGTTGGTTAGGAATTGAAAGATCCAAAGCTCGGACTCGCTTTTCGTGTCTCTTAATTTCTCTCTCTGTTCAACTGATCGGGTTGTCGATCTTATTGAATATCGATTCAAAGTCTCGTGATCTTTCTAGTTACTGGGGTTCCTCCTTTCTCCTTCTTGCAAATTGATACAGTCCCCGACTGTTCCAGATGTAAGCGTGTAGAACAATCGTTTGTGATACTTATCGTTCTTGGGAATGGCCGTCAATTTTTTGTAAGTAGTCATAGTTTTGTACTTCGCACTAAACACTACTGTGGGCTGTTAATCTCCTCTTCTCACATTAGATCCTGTAGTCTGTTTGAAGGAATGCTCTACAAAGGAGTGTATTGCTTGGTCATTTTGGTCTTGTCATCGTTCTCATTGACACGTGTTCTTTTTTTTATTCTTTCGCAGACCGATCTTCCTCTTTGCTTTTGTAAATGTATGTGTTCTGACGAATGTTTTTTTTTTTTCTTTTTTTTTTTTTTCTTCTTTTTGTTTTGTTTTCAGATACCGTATTATTAAGGATAAGTCAGTTGAGAGGCGTGTACCTCCACAATGGCCGCTACGAACATGCTCAACACGTTGCCACTGACCTCCAAGAAGTCCACCGTCGGACTCCCCCATAATAACGCTGTAGCTGCCCCCAGTCTCAGCCTGACGAAGCTGAAGCGCATGCCGCACTTATTCACCCGCGTCCTGGAGCTTCCCTTACACGCCGAGACGCCCGTGAAGGTTTTCGAATTGCGCGACTTCTTCTTATTTGAAGTGCAGCTGTCAGAGTTAGCCGTGGGTGACGTGAAAGTTGAAGTACTAGAGATTGTGCCTGGCGCAACCAAGGTTCTTGTGCGCGGAGTTGAACCCACCTCGCCGGTCGTGGAATTTTGGCGTTTTCGGTTGCCTCCTACGACGCTTCCTGAGAAGTCAGCCGCGAGCTATGATCGTGGCACCCTGTCTGTGACGATTCCGAAGGTTTTGGTCCCTTGTAGCGAAGATCGGAATGGAGAGAATGGAAATGGCAACTCGGATACCTCACTAAGCCACGACGCTGACGAAAGCGCCAAAGTCGTCCAAGAGACTCAACCATTCCACGATCACTTGGACACAGCTATGGATCAATTTGAGACCGATGAAGAGAAAATGCAACGAGAGGTGTTGGAAGATCTTGAAAGCTTCGGAAGTCCTAGGAGAGCTCGTTACTCGCCATGCACCAGCCGAAGCTCCATCCCTCAACCGGCAAAGTCGTACACTGATCCCGAGAAAATTCAAGAGGTGCTTGACGATCTGGAATGCTTTGGCAGTCCAAGGCGGCGCCGAAGCGTGAGCTGTACACAATCCTTTGCGCAACAAAGTGGGGGTGCTCACCAAGACTTCTTCCGGAGTGTGGGATCGTGGGTGGGTGGTTTCTCCGTCTATGTGCAATAGCATGCTGCTAAGCCTTCGAAGGTGATGAGATCATTTGAAAATTTTCCAGGAGCTACTTGCAAGAACCCATTTGAACTCTTACAAGTAACCGTTTTGAAGCTCTTCATTGCCTGAGGGGCTGTTAAGTTAGGATAGCACTGCTGTACAATTTTAAATCTTAGACAACTTGTAAGATATAGAGGAGGCTAGCATTTCCCTAGGGTTATCTGCCATGCCTCAGTGCACCAAGCTCAGGAGGAGCCGAGTTGTATTCGGTTGCTCATTTGAAGCGGGAAGGTTGGCAGGGAATTATGAGCTTCTAGTATAGGTGGAACTAAACTGGTGTTTTGGCGTTACCTTGGATGATGTAAATGACGAGGTTTACTTAGAGCAGACACTTCGAAGTTCTAAACTTTTCTGTGTGTCGCTCGAGTATTTCTACGTTTCCGATGCATGAGTTTCTCTTCCACGTATCGAATGTGCATGATTATTTTCGGAACAGAGCGCGAGTGGAATCTCGTGATCAAAGATGATGACATCGTGAATTCCAAGCAAGTACGCAGGGATACTCATGTAAAACCCAATTGTACTGCATCATTGCCTTAGCAAGAAGGGTGTGGGACCAGGCCTACGTGAGACATGAATGTGCCCAGCATTCCGACCCTGCTTCCAGTCTCATCTCTCTTTTGCAGACCCAACGGAAGAAAGCCGTCCCACGAGTTGTGGAAACCAGGATTCTACATCTGATTCCCCTTGTGAGCTATTTTAAGGATGTGTTACGATTCTTCTCTGCTTTGTCCAAGTCTACCACTCATGGGGTTTAGTTGTAGGAGTTCGATGATCACACTGGTGGATGGGATTCATCGGTTCCGAACTTGACTGCATGAAGCCGGCTGCTCGAGATCATTGAACCAGTGCTTGCCTGGCACGTGCTATTCGCAAACTACAATCCTTATAAACCTACACTCTAAGCTGAAGTTTCCATTCTCTGAAAACTCGGAACCTGCAAAGTTTTCACTGATGCCGTTTCACTTCGAAACATGGACATGCTTGCTCCAAGTGGTAACGTCGCAGCGGAAACGCATGCAGCAATGACCAGGTATTTCAGACCTTGTCCGTTTAACCTTGTGCAACAGTACAAACACAATAGTATTATAACTTTGCCAGTTGTAGATTGCTGGTGGACACAGAAAGATAAGTTGTGTTTCTGGTCACTATGCAAATTTGTAACAAGAATATTTGCTCCTGTCTGCTTTGTAAAAGTGGTGGAATCTCCATTAGGCTTTCGGATAAAAGCTTCATAAAACCTCTACTTACCATTGATACTTTCAGTGCTCTCGGTGTTGACCTTACTTACTGCATCTGTTTTATCTGTTCAAAATTCAGCATTGGACAGCTTAGATTGTTGCTGAATTAGGCTGTTGCTTTTTAATAAAGTAACTGAAGAATTTAAGTCATTGAGTGCGTCTTTTGTGAATTCTTGAAGCTTGTCACTGAGTCAATTAAAAACGAATAAAAAGTGTACTCGATGCATTTTGGATAGTAAGAATTTATGCAGGTTTTTTTCAACGTAAGATTTTGTAGTGTTTTGATGGAATTATATCTATATATATATAAATATATAACTTGCATGTTCTCAAATCGATAATATCAAAGATGGTGTTTTTCAAAAGAGTTAAAAAGACAAGATTTAAACTACCAAAAGAGTCTATGTTTAGAAATAAAAATGGAGCTTTGTTTTTAAAAAAATTAGTTTTTTGAAACTTGCATAAATTTCTTGCTCCTTTTAAAAATTTCTAAGTATTCTATTGGAATTAAAACAACATATCCATTGTTAAAGATATGCTTTTTTTTAAAGATATTTGTATCAAATTAGGTCATAACAAGAGAGATTTTTAAATGCCATGTTTTACTATCAAACTTTAAGATTGATTAAATTGCCCTAAAAATAAATACATCTTCTTTGAAAATCAAAATATTATAGCATTTCTAATATATTTTTGGAGGAGAGCATTATTGTATTTCAAAACATTTTTTAAAAAATAATATTTTTATTTATTTCTAATAATATTATTTAAAAAATGATAATATGGCATTGGCCTATATTACAACCACATTGCTAAAAAGAATTGAAGAACTAAGAATCTATAAAGGTATCTTAAGTTGTCCACAACCTTACTTTGATCCCATTAAATCCAAAAACTTCTAAGTAGACTTGTTAAGAGATCATGATCCAAAAAAAACTTGTATTTTTTAGATGTTTAAAATTAAGTGAATTATTTTGTAGTCTTGGTGACTTTTTACATTTATATATATATATATATATATATATATAAATATTTTATTAACGTTTGGTGAATTTAATTTTAAAAATCAGTAGAAATAGGAATATATTAATATAAAGTATTTCATAGTATAATATGGTAGATATTGGCTGTATTTTTTTAATTGTTTAATTATTTAAATATATTTTTTATTATTTTGAAATTTTGCTCAAGATTATGAGAAAAACTATCATGAAAACTTATGATTAGATTTTATGATCAATGGATTCTTTAATATTTGCCTTTACTTTTTAAAAATTCAATTAAAATCACAGACTTTATAAAGTTGCCTAGACCAAGCCATTGCTCATTAAGAGTGTATACGTTCATCTAATATGCATTTAGTTGTCTAGTTTAAACATATTGAAACAAGGTTTTATTTCAAAAATATAATGTACTTAAGAATTTTGATGTTTTTAGTTGAAATAAACCTTTGTGAATCTTAAATTTTGTTTCTACCTCAAAAAAATAAAAACAAAAAATGGTATGTGAGAATTACAACATTATCAAGACTTTATAAGATTTTTTTAAATCTAAAATCCCCTTTTTTTTTCCTTTAATGTCACACTTCTTTTATACATAAAGTAAACTATATATCACCTTCTAATCAAAAGAAAAATTAAAATATTATTATTAAAATAAACTTATTAAAACCAAAAAAGAAAGAAGAAAAGAATTCAAACAATCAAAAAATACTTCTCTTAAACCAATTTCTTTAGGTACATGCAAAAATCCATCAATAAATTTATTCTTTTTTGTTATGAAGGTGTTATGTCCCGAATACAATTTTTTTTATAAGTACTTAAAAAATGTCTTTAATTGGAATATGACAACAAGTATAACTTTAAATAAAATTCAAACATATCTGTTGTTTTTAAAACGCCAATTTTTTCTATTGGTTTTATTTTAAAAATGAATCATGATTTTTGTGCTATTGAAGCTTGTGGATTTAACAAGGATATAAGAATTGAATTTTTATTTATTTAAATAAAATTTTCATTAAAAATGATTTCATAATATCAAATATATATATTTTTAATTAATTTTAATATCAAAATTTTACAGTACTGTCCTTATGAACTACGTGTTAAGCATTTTATCCCTTGCTATTCGCAAATTTTAGATCCCATAAGGAAACTTCGACGCTGCCCACCAGCATCGAATCTACGATCCAGACCGTAGATTAAACACCACCCAACCCGTCCCCGGCCCGTTGAAGGAAGCAACATGTCTTTCAACAGAATCGTCGACCGCATGAGTTGAATCTCGGTTTTTCTACCACTCGCGCTCTCGCATTACTTGCACAGATTGCAGCTTCTCTCCATCGCCAGGTGCCTGCACGCTCCCTCCACAACGCTTCCCCTTGTCTCGATCGTCTTTTGGGTCCTTTCGTGTGAGAATTTGGTGTCCAGTGTGACCCGGGAACCTCTTTTGATGGCTGTTGATGCAAGTGGGTCCTTTGAGTTTCTCCAGGGTTTGTCCTGAACGATGAGCGTGTTGCGCTTTTTCACGATCCGTGGTGGTCACTGCCATGGATCGTGGAGGTTTGAGTTTCGTTTCAGAGGTGGGTTGTTGCAACTTTGGGAAATTGGTGGTGATCAGTTGGGATTGTGGAATTAGGGTTTCCGAGATGGGCGTTGTCGCTTTGACCTTATTTATTACGCGATCGGAGGACCGAATCTGGTTGGGTTAACATGTGGTGTCTGTCTGTTCAGATTGTAGTCGGAGGACTCTTGGATGCTATTCTTTTGGAGGATTTGCTTATAATCCTGTGTTTGGTGTTGTAATGCCAGTTAGGGTTGAATTATACTAACTGTGCTCTTATTTTTCGGTGTCGGTTTCAGGTTGGATTCTGCATTTTTTTCTTTCTAATTTGCATATACTGTAGCATTAGAGAGTTACTATCTAAATAGACTAGATTGTTTGTTTCGCCTGAAATCATTTTGTCTAGACCAGTTGTTTACTATCTATGACCAAGCGCTTGCTCTTTGTATGTGGAGTTCTACTTCATCGTAGAGATAGCAGTGTTTTCATTGGTGGACAGTGATTTTTCTATTCTTCGTGGTTGCTTTCATGTTGCTGGTGTGATCCTACATACCTCAGGCAACGTTGGGAATGCCGTTTTGAGGCGACTTTGTGCATGTGCTGCCACCTTTTCTCGAGTTGGTGAATCGCGTCCGTGTTAACTTGTGTTTCATCAAATTCTCGGTCAGCAGGAATCGGACGTCCTGTGCGCGACTTGTTATTCTTGTGCTAAAGGCTGCAGAAGGGGCTAACTGAGATGATTTCAGGAGGCTCTGTAGTTGGTAAGCTTGTGGTGCTTGTGTTTGGAATTCAGGGTCTTCACACATCTTGGTACCTACATAATCCTGTCGTACTTTTGTGTCCCATTGTAACCGATTCTATCTGAGCTTGCGACATTTTCATTTATTAGAGAAACAGAAGAGTTCATAGAATGTTGACATGTAGCTAGTCGTATGCTGAGGTTTGATTCTCGCTCCAGTTCTGATGTATTAACTTTTGTTTATGTTCAAATCGTAGTTCCTAGGAACTTTCGCCTTCTCGAAGAACTTGAGAGGGGAGAGAAAGGTATTGGCGATGGCACCGTCAGCTATGGCATGGACGATGGTGATGACGTATTCATGCGCTCTTGGACCGGCACTATTATTGGACCAAGCCACGTCAGTTCCGTCCAGAGCTAAAATTTACATTTCGCGTGAATTAGCGACTCCCATCCCTTTTAGGCACAATTAGTAGAAAATATCAAGACTAATAAGTTCAAATTGCGATGTTTTAGTGAAAGTTACTTGTGATAAACCCCATTTCATTGTTTTTGATTTCGCACTCTGTCTAAGTTGTGTTACTGAGTTGTCACCGACACATTCAAGCTCTTGTTTGTACAGTCAGTTCATGAAGGTCGTATCTACACATTGAAACTGTTCTGCGACAAGGACTACCCCGATAAGCCACCAACTGTTAGATTCCATTCTCGGATCAACATGACTCATGTGAACTCGGAGACGGGATTGGTAACCACCATGTTCATGTTGTGGCTTTGATGCTCTTCTTCACCGTCTGTATTCGCTCTCCTGTTCAGCTAGTCTGCTGGCAACCAGTGTAAGAAGAGCTAACTGTCAGTATCATGCATTTCGTAGGTTGATCCAAGATATTTTCCTTTGCTGGCAAATTGGCGCCGTAACCATACTATGGAAGATATCCTTGTGGAGCTCAAGAAGCAGATGGCAAGCCCGGCTAACCGGAAATTACCACAGCCCCCTGAAGGAAGCACATTTTAACTGAGATGTGCTTGGAATCTATCAGTTCCACCTGCACCGTGGTTCATACCTGTCGCTGCGTAGTTTATCTTCAAGTATCATGGAATGCCAACTTATATTCCAAAACACTCTATTTGCATATTTTACTAGAGCGCCTGCCAGGCAAAGTGCTGAATTCTCTGATGAATGTGCTCATCAGAATTCTCTGATGCAGGATTGTAAGTGTCCTTGTACATTAGATAAGTGATCTTATCTGTCGCATGTCGTGCAATTACATTTCATCATTTCGTCTAGGGTGTATTCCATAATTTGATCCTCAGGAAGTAAGTGAGGAACGGTGCTGCTTACTTTCCTGTCTTGCCATCAAAGTCTTAAGAGCATCAGGAATTTCATCAGGATAGTGGCGTGGAGCATTAATCGAATAGCTTAGCGTGATGTAACCAGGAGCAGTTATGGTCTGAATGGTTGACATGCAAACAGTGTTCGTGACCTTCAAGTGTAATTTTAGGATGAGTGTTTATGCGTTCTAAAACATGTACTGTATCATTCTGGAATATGATAAACATCTAAGCAATCTAATAGGTAGTGAGTTATCAATCCTCCTACATATCTAACAGTGCAGCAATTGAGAGCGTGGGACGGAATGTTAGTTACTCAAGCATGTGATCGGTCCTTCAGGCTCTAAACCTGTATGGTGAATGACCATGTTAAACTCTGCATCAACAAACAGAACTCTGTCTAATAATTTCTTGCTGTCCAACTTGAGAGGTCTGTCACAACAAGAAAGTGCTAGGTGACGATGACATTGGCATGCTTTTTCTGATGATGGAGCCTACTGAAAAGCCTACAGTATCGGTCCATTGGTGGATGCCTCTTCCCTTTACCGTTATACAGAGCAGAGAGGGCTCTACGTATGATGGATTAGAATAGATTTTAGCATTAATCCCGCACCAACGTGGCTAAGGCCGAGCCTGCAAGCCTTAAAGCACAAGCCCAAAGTAGTTGTGTGTAATTTGAGGTAACAAGAGCCTCCTTCTATGTTCAATGGGTGGGTAATGTTATTCTTGGACTTTGCCAGCACTTGATGATCCCTGTAAGTCAAAATTCATCCTATTTCAAAATTTGTACTTCCATGTGTAAGGAAGTGAAGCACTTTATGACTTCATGAGGAGGAATTATTTTATCATCTTCATTTATGTAATTCACATGTTATAACACATTTTTATTTTGTGTCACATATACCTTGAGTTTGTAGTTGGTAAGAATAATTTTTAAAATCATTGTGGATGAAGTTTTGAAAACTTCATTTGTGTAACTTTTGCAAAAATCATCCAATCTTTAAGTGTGATACCATTTCGGAAATGACATTTAATAATGAAGAGTGTGGTCATAATGAGGTTTTGTTTCAATCAAGGATGAAAAAAAAAAAAAAAAAAAAAAAAAAATTAGTCAAGTCCAAAGATCAACTTAAAAAATGAAGTTTGAACCTCAAGTAATATTAGGTCCTTTCAAACTTTATTCATTGAAGTGCATTGCTTCTAATTGATACAAAGGTTTTACAATTGCCATTTGTAATTATTTACTATAATTCTAGGATATATTTCTAACTACTTGTTATCTATAACTCAAGTCATGGTGTCTTCAAAGAATAATAGACTCATTGATAAAATTATTTTTTATCAATGACTATATTGTGAAGCAAAAAATATGCCAATATCAAGCTAGAATTTTTTTTCAAATTAAAAATTGTAATACGATTTTAAAAATTCTTCACATTCAATTTAAAATTCAAAATGAATGCTCAACTATCATATATGTAGATGAGTGCTTAAAATCAAATTCATCATATAGTCTAAGAAGTTGGATTCCAAGCCAATGCACAAGAAAGTTCTTATCACTAATATATCTTAGATTAGCTACAATCAATTTACTAATATCACACCTCCAATTTTTATTATTGCCCAATTTAATCTTTGCTATATAATCACATCTTTGAAATGATTTTATATTAGAAGTATATGAAAATCATGTCTTGATTTGAGAATGCCTATAAAAAAAATCTATAAACCGGGCTTTGTGATCCACAATAACTTGAATTATTGTAGAATAATTATAATCTTAATTATACCAATGTGTTGATATGGATCTTGTAAGTAGATCAAATTGGACATGAAAAAAAATCAAGTGAACTATAACATTGTGGTATTATATGGATATTTTTAAATCCAAGTATTACTTTTAATGAAGCTTTTTTTCTTGAATATTATAAAGGTAAAGTCAAAACAACATCAATTAAAGAGGTAATAAATCACTTACAAACTTTTATGCTTGTTGAGTCATCTATGTCAAAAAGTTCACTTACACAGTCATGAGTGTCTTTAGTTCTAAGCCTTCTCAATGCAATCGCAACTTATTTAGGAATACTCACCAATTAACATGTAATATTAATCAATCCAAGAAGATGATTCATCTTTGACTCTTTATGTACCAAATCACAAGTGTAAAGAAAAGTTGAAATAAATGGTCAAAAAAATTGACAAATATTTTAAAGATCATTCTATATCATCAAAATTAAGAATTATTTCCATCAACATATTATATGTGGCTTGATATAATAAAAACCATGCTTTAATCTAAATGTATATTTTTTTTTGCCAACTTTGTAAATAAATACTTCTTGAAATACTAATTCATATTTCATAAATGAATGAATGGCAGAAAATTTTGCTTCAACTCTCACTTTATATTTTGAAATTTTGAAGGTTGATACTCTTGGTATTTTGCTTATTTAATATTCTATGAGATGTTAATTTTACCATAGTTCTAATATATGATATTATAGAATATGATTAAAATAAATAAATTATAGATAAAGAATAAAACTATTATCTATTTAGAATAATATTTTTAATCATTTTAATGGAATTACTCATATTAAGAAGAAAATTTACATAAACTTATTCCATGGTGATAGCTCTATCTATTTTCTTGCATTCAAGTTTCATCATATCAAGATGGCACAATTTTTCTAATTTTAAATTTTGTTTATCTTAGTCTATGCTTTTTTTTCTAACTAACATCCCCTTGATCATGTCCACTACTAATGATTTGAATGAATATAAGCATAGTCTTATTTATAGAAGCTAGTGTACCATCTACAACCTTTATTGATAAAAAATGATTTTTTGATGAAGTAATCAATTAATGATTCACCACCATTTGTAATTTATAAAGATATTATTACTAAGCATTAGAATTTCAAAATAAACTATATTCAATTTTTAAAAAATAACTTGATATGTAATAAATAAATAAATAAATAAATAAATAAATAAATAAATAAATAAATAAATAAATAAATAAATAAATAAATAAATAAATAAATATATTTATTAGATATTGAATATATATATATATCCAAAGAAGTTTTATAATATATTAGTCAAAGTTGCTAAAATTCTAGTGTTAAGGAAATAGCCTCCAACATCCACAACTTATGAAGTTTTAAAAAACCACTTCAACATTACTAGGTAGATGGTTTGATCTTGTGGTGTCTTTAGAAATCTTCATAGATGGTTTCTTTTGTGCAATGAATCATAGAAAAATAACTCAATTCACCATAGTGTCAAGGACATGAACTAAAAGATGATGCGTAAACCAATGAAATCCATATCAAAAAAAGAATGATAAAATAGAAATAAAAAAATATGTATATTAAAAGAAACTGGAAAGGTTTATTGCCAAAAGACAAGAAAACTTGAGACTCTTGAAATTAGTCTAGAAGCAAGAAAGAAGTTGACAAGAGTGAAGAGCGCTTCATTCTTGTCTCTATATATACTATCTAACTAGGGGCTATGTTGCAATGTTCTATAGGACCTCCAATGTGTGTTGACTTTGTAAGATACATGCCTTGACTTACAAGGCAAGTTTTTCTACATGTGGGCCACATAGTTAGCTTGGTCTTCAAGTTAACAATATGTGTGGCACATGGCCAACTTGTTGACCATATTTCTAATCCAAAAAGTCAATTAAAGATACCTATAAAATCAAAACAACATCTATAAAGCTTTTAAGAAGCTTCTATAGAAGATATTATAGAATTAACTTGCTTTTACCTACTTCTACTTACTTCTACCTATTTATATAGGTAATTATTGGCTTATATGCATTTGTTCATGACATTACTTCTCATTCTAGAGACGAGTTCCACAAAGAGTAGTCATCATATGTTGAAAAAATCTATGATGCAACAAATTGTATTTGCCACATACTCATATCTTTGTTCTCTTCGAAGATGGTTAATAGGACCTCTCAACCATCGATAGTATCTCATATCAAGGCTGAAAGATCATCCTATTATTTGATCATTGTTGAGGCCTTCATAACTTCCTTCAAATAAAATATTTGGAACACCATTAGGAGTTGTTCCTACCTCTAATGAAATTACCAAACATTGGGAGTCTCTTCCAAGGTCATGATATCAAACGCGTTGTATCTCGCCATCTATTTGAAAAAAAATATGTCATTCTTGAAGATCTTCATGTCGATTGCATTGTCTTGAAGATTGTGACAATTACAGTGTCTTGTCTCATAAGTCAACAAACAAAGGCTCTTCAGTCAAATCCACTGGTTGTTGATTCTCCATCTCCTTAGCATCACAACTATAAAAAAGCTACAAACAAGGATTGAAAGTAGAATGTTATCTTGCCAAATCTTGTTTCTTTTATAAAGAAGGTTTTCATCTTGATTTTGATGGATATCGTCAATGAAAAGCCTCCACCACCTTTGCTGCATTTACAAGATTCTTTACTGGCTTCCATGTATATTTACTAATACCATATCCATGTCAATAGACAAGATATTCCAATTTATTTTGACGTCACCTTGAATCTAAGTCTTCTTCTACTTTGAACTCTTCATCATTGTCCACTTCTATAGGAGGAGGTGGAGTTTGTCATCTTCTTAGTATGTCCATTGTCTTGTATGATTCAAGAAGAGATACATGGAATATTGGATGGATTTGCATTGATTCCGAGAGGTGTAAACGATATGCAACTACATTGATTTGTACAGATATAGAAAATGATCCAAGTCTATAATAGTCTAACTTGTCACAAAGACGAGTGGCCTTGATATTACGATGAAGTAACCATACTTTGTCACCCACATGGAATGATGATTGTTCCTTTTGATAGACATCTGCATTGATCTTTTGTTGTTCTTGAGCTTCTTTTAACTACACTTTCATTGTTGCATGTAGCTCTGACAAATGATTTGTCAATTCTTCCACCTTTATCATATTATGTGCTATCTTGCTTGAGAACACACCAAGCATTTGGCTATGGAAGATATAACAATATTTTGTAAGTATCCAAGTAGTCTAGTGGGTTTCAACCATCTAAATACAAACTATTTTGGATTTCAATGTAAAGCTTAATCTCAATTAAAAGTACTTAGAAATAACATTTTTAATAACTTTAAGCTATTATAAGTATAAATTCTTCTCTTACTTTGTTACTTTTATTTTATTTTTTTATTAGTATTATTATTTTTTTAATTTTTAATTTTTAATTTTTTTAATTTTTAAATCCTAATTCTA